ATCAAACTGTAAATAAAGGACACCATTTTGAATGCGATATACCATTTATTACACATTAAACAAAGAGAGCTGCAGGACATTACCCATGGAAAGTCTTTTTTTTTTTTTATCTCTTCTATTATGAAAATGAATCCACACACACACACGACAACAGTTAGTGTGCTGCTGTATTGTATGTATTGTATTATAAATTAGTAGCAGCAGGGCATTTGAAAATCCACGGGCAGCCAGACAGGAGTGCAAAGATCAGCATCGTGCCTCTGTTAATATAAGCTCCCAAGCCTCAGCTTTAACACGTTGAACAAACAACACTTGAGTCAACTTTCAGTACATCAACTTCAAGTAAATGTCAGTGAAAAGTCATCACGTAGTGCTGGAGAATTTTCAGAGCATGAGCTGGGTTTACTGGGTGCACTTTTAATAAGTAAGAAAAAACATTTGCTTTTTGATTGACATCTATAATTTAAGATGTTGTCTTTTAAAACATCTGCTTTCAACTTGCAATCTTGGTGCATCCTTGGTCTTCAGACGGGTTTAACACCTAATTCAAATGTTCCTTCACACTATTGCAGTCATTGGAGATATGAAGAGTTTATTTTCTTAACATCAGAAGCACTGTCATTTATGCGTGACATAGATATGCATTGACTCTCCTAGATATCCTGTACAAATTAGGCCTCAATTTACTTGTGTCATCATTTATTTTATTGCATCCAAACTGCTTTTGTATCAGCACATTTTATCTACGGTAATCACACCCTTAAAGACATCACATCGCAGGCTTTATTGCCACATTATTGTCCTCTGATTCCAAAGCATTGAATAGCAGTTTATGTCAAGCATGGTCAGTACAAACAAGGTTATGATTTTATACATAATATAAAACAATTTAAAAGTCTGTGGTCTAAAATTTGAACGAAATGCGTACAAAATGTTGGAGGAAGGGGCTATTTTAAGTATTATCCTTTACAGTACAGGTGATCAATAACAAAGACATGAAAACATTAACCAGTTGCAGCAATGCCAAAATCCTTCTCACATTCTAATGAGTTAGCCTTCACTAAAGACTTCATTAAAGTTCAACAAAGAATGTCTCTGTTATTTGTTTTCTGGGTTTTCTCACTGTCATTTGGACAGTTAACTGAAGAGCAGGGTCTGGATAGGTAGGAGTGGTTTAGGTACAATTGAAAGATTTCCTATATTAACACCACATGACATGACTGAAGACATTGTGAATGGACTGCAGTAACTACAGCTGTGCTCGCTCTCTGGCTTCTCTGAGAAAAGCATCTTTCCACAACAGGCAGTTTGCACTCAGGACAGCGAGCTGTTAAGGACACAAGACCTCTCACCTCTCACGTACCAGGGGCCCGCTTTAGAATTTTACAATGCCACAAAACAATACTTTGAAAGGCAACCATGAAAATTCTGACCTCGGTGGTGAGGAGTGGCCGAGGTCCAAGGCTGCAAAGAACCTCGCTCCGGGCCTCGCTTCGCTGCAGTGGAGTCCGGGACCTTTGGGCAGAGCCATCTCCATTGGTTCACGGTTAGATGTTGAGGCTTTACAGAGTGACCAAGCAGAATTGGTGCCCAAGGTCGAGACCAAACTTTACCATCGTCGCTGGGTAATGCTGTTTCTCTTCAGTGCCGTCTCAGCCAGCAATGCCTTCATGTGGCTTCAGTACGGCATTATTAGCAACATATTCATGCGCTTCTACAACATTGACTCTCTGGCCATTGACTGGTTGTCCATGATCTACCTGCTCACCTACATCCCACTTATTCTGCCCGTTCTGTGGCTTCTGGACAACAGGGGAATCCGGGATGTTGTCCTCGTTGGGTCAGCCTTTAACTGCATTGGTGCTTGGATAAAAATCGGTAGTGCCAGTCCAGAACTGTTCCCAGTCACCTTTTTTGGCCAATTTGTGTGCTCAGTAGCCACTGTGTTTGTCCTTGGTATTCCCTCTTACCTTGCCTCAGTGTGGTTTGGAGAGAAAGAGGTTTCCACTGCTTGTTCCATAGGAGTTCTTGGAAACCAGGTTGGTCTGAATGTCTAATTAATCCATTTAAATTTCTGCTTCTGCAGGAGGGTCCACATAGCGAGGCTGTCTGTAGATTATGCAGGGCTGCACTGGATGCCAGAGTCACATGAGTCTTCTAGTGTCCTGGTGCGAGAGTCCTGAGAAAATTGTGTTAACCATTCGCTGAAACCTTCTCGTCAAACTTTGTCTGTTTAGGCTGCTTATATAGCAACCTGATTTGGTTGTAATGATATAAAAATATGGCTGTAATGTGTTATTTTTCATTTATCTGCATGTACGAATTTCAGATTATTGTATGGTTGTTGCAGCAGAGCTTGTTTGAGAGGTTTAAATTAAAAAATATATATATCTTTTTTTATTTAATTTGTGTTTTCTGTGTTCATTGTCTTAAAGCTGGGTATTGCCATTGGTTTCCTCGTGCCTCCGATCCTGGTGCCTAATGTGGATGACATGGACGAGCTGGCTCACCACATCAGCATTATGTTCTACATCACCGCAGGAGTGGCTACCTTACTCTTTATCCTCGTTGTCTTCGGTAAGATTTTCTAAGTAGCACATAAATGGTCAGTCCACCCCAATAACAAAAAACTTGTATTTTCTTTCTTACTTATAGTGGTATCTAGAAATGCAGATTTTCTTTGTTTAATGTGTTTTGAGACTTGCATTTCTGAAATATTTCCTGCAACCCTAATACAATAGACTTACTTGGTGACTTGATTCATGCTGCTCAAAGCATTGAAAACTGCATTTTCAAATTTGTATTGGGATTGTTTTTTCAATAGAAAGTAGTTCAAATGAAAACCGTTTGCTTCAAAGTCTGTGAATTATTCTAACCAAGATATAGTTTTAGGAGTAACAAAGTGGTGTTGTGCAGTTTTTCAAATGTAATTTTTAGATGATTTGTGCAGTTCAGAGCAAGATATCTTAAAACCTCAGCAGATGAAACGGAAACCTTCCGCATGGCTAGACACCATGAAGGGCAATATGTTTTTTGCAGTTTCGGCAGTTTTGGAATTTACATAAAATGTAGATGAACTGGATTTAAATGCAATTTTTAAACCGATTTTACTGTACCGTGTAACCAAGGATTTTTTGTGAATGGATATAGAGATGAAGTGGTCATTGAAGCAGTCAAGTGAGTGAAATGAATGGTTTCAAAGTGTGTCATCACCTCACCCACAAAACCTTTCCACATTTATTTCCCTCAGAAACTATGTATTGTCTGGACCTTTTTCACTCAGGCCAATGGGGTTTTCTTATTCAGCGGATCTACCTTATGATGGTTTTAATTTACAGCACTTAGACTCTGACAAGAAGCACCATTCAGTTGACAAGAAAAGTGCTGACATGCATGTTTGCACCGACACAAAACCTTCACTGAAGGGGAGATTGACGAGAAAGATACCATTGTGGTACGAGTAAAGTAAAGTCAGGAGAAATGTGCACAAAAGTACAAGATGTTACAGTGTAAAGTGTATGTTAGTTATAGATATATTAGTTATATATTTGATGACAAAAGGATATTTTCTGGTAGAAGGAAGTACACTTCACGTGACAAACAGGAAATGAGTTGTCAGGCGAAATGCTTAGTTGTAGTCAGCTTAATATATTTGCTTTTTGACCCTCTTTGTCTTTTTCCTACCATCTCGTTATATTTTATCTCAGAGTTTATGTTATTAATTAGCACCTCACATGTTATTTTTCTTGTGGAGGAAACTAGAATCATATCATTTAGAAAGGCGGTAGATTAATAACAGAAGTGGTTAGTCAGAATATAGTAGCAAACAGTGTTGTAAGTATGTAGCAGAGAGAACACTGGTTTGGGTAGTTGTCGGAGGGGAGGAACAAGTTCGATGAAAAAGAAAGCTGTTGTCCTACCAGGGCAGAGAGAGGGCGGGGGTGCTCGTAAGCGTCCTGCATTCAGAAACACAAAAGGATGCTTGTGAAGGAATTCCGTAGTACAACATTCAGACTGACTCAACTGTTAGTATTTTGACTTTATTCTCCTGTTGTTTATAAAGACCCTTCAAATGCAGAGTTCAGCTCATTCTCTGCATATTTGACTAGTTGGATGGGCATTTTTGAATCTGATATTTTTATTGATATGAGTCTGGTTCATTATTTATTTCAGTGATTATTTTGTGACCCCATTTAAGAGCCTCGCTCTATCCAAAGGTTAAAAAATTCATTTCAGTTTGAATTAAACAACCTAGATATAATGTGTGACATGTTAATTGGTGAGATTTAGATGTGCCAATAAGCAGCTTTTTTACACAGTAAAGGTAGCTGTTTCCCGCCTGTTTCCAGACTTAATACTAAGCTAAACATCTCACGACTCATGAGAGTGATATCTGTTTTCTGATGTAACTCTTGGCAAGAAAGCAAAAAAGCACTCTTTCAAAATGTTCCTTCAACAGAAAGTTCTTGCGGCCCTCGTCGCAGTGTGCATGTCTCTGTTTATTTGTGGTTTTAATCAAAAAGGGACTGTCCCCTCTCAGACCCTTTCATTTTAGAAAAATTTGAGAAATTAAATTAAATGTATTGTAGCTTTTTCCTATTTCCTACCCAAGTAATCATCTTGTGACCCCAAATAATTGAAAGATAGATATAATAGAGATAAAGCATAAAGATTCTGAATTAACAGACATCATGTAACTCAAAGCTTTTTAGTCCTAAGCCTGAGCGTGCACTGTGTACATAGACTTTCTTCCACTTTCAGTCATGTGACGGGTGGTATTGGGCCAGAGATGTGACTTATGCTGCTCTTGGTTACTCCAACGAGATAATTCACACCAGTTGGCCACAGTAGTTTCATGATATGACACATATACTCACACACATAGCACACCCTCACACATACATGCAAGATGCCATGTGTGAGGGTTGTCCTGCTGGCCGGGCCATCTGTAGCCCTGCAACAGGACTGTGAGTCAGCAGGGCAGACAAAGTCCCAGGATTCAGAGATTTGCATAAACTGTGTGCAAAGAGAGGTGAGAGAAGAAGTTTGGCTGCTGCTTTCCTCCAAACGAACCGTCAGCCAAAGTTAACCACAGAGAAAGTCTGCATTAAGACATAACGTGAGTGCATCTGGTTGACTGAATAAGGGGAATCCCTGCGGGTGTTCAAGGCAAATTACCATGCCCAAACTGGTTTACACGTTATCAGTATGAGCACTCCAAAGACTAATATGAATAAAACTTTGAGTTTCCTTTGAATATCAATGAGCACACAGCTGAGATCATGTATAACCTAAGTTTCTTTATGTACTGTCATAGCAGCTGTATCTAAAAGCAGGTTTATAGGATAAGTGAGAACCAGTTGCTAACCACAAATCCTCAAGTCAGGTTTGCTGGGGGGGTAGAAAGGGCTGCTAGCTCCAAGAACTACAAAGACACACATCTGTGTTTCCCCATGAGGCCTTAGGGCACGTGCTTTCACCCAGGAAAAAAGAAGACTAACTCAAACAGGTCACATCACACTTTAAATGATGACTGTCCTCTGGGTTGGAGTCTGTCTTTCACTCTACGTGTGTGGACCTGCCCCACTGTGTCTGGATGGGACCCATTTCACTTAAAATCTTCGCAGTTGTTCAGGATAATACTTTACACTACATACAAAAAGCTCCATGTGCTTCAGTTGCATGCAGTTGGACATTTAGGAAGTTTTAGTTTATATAGCACCTTTCAAACAAATCAAATGCAATTCAAAGTGCTTTACGAGCAGTTGACAGAACAAGTATGTTAAAAAGGAATTTATGTAACCAAACAACCAAAAGTTAATAGAATGTGACAACAATAAAAGATGGGTAGTAAGATAATGTGAGCAATGAAAATAAAACTTTGAAACACTGTACAAAACCAACAGATTACTGTAAAATATAAGAAAATAAAAAGTATAACTACCTTTTGACAATAAAACACAACGACATAAGATTACACTGTACACTCTTGTGTAGAAGATTTAAATAGTGTTGAGTTTGTTGTTATTTGTGTTAACTGTGTTTAATACTGTTTTTTTTTTCTCTCCTTACGTCAGTCTTCCAGGAGCGTCCTAACCTACCTCCGACTCAGGCCCAGGCCACAGCTCGTAGCATCCCACCAGAGCAGTACTCCTACACAGCCTCCATCCTCAGGCTGCTCCGCAACAGGCCCTTCATCCTCCTCATCATCACTTATGGTTGGTCATCACTATCCTTCAAAGTACTAGTAATCGGTCCTTCTGCAGACTACAAAAGAGTTCTTTAAAAGAGATTTAAAACAGGGTGTTGATGTAAAAATCTGTATTTTACGCTTTGTTTTTATTACCGCTCCATCTGTAGGTGAGGCTTGGTCGGCAAGGCATTCATAATAAATGCCATGAAAAATAGGGGGAATTACTTATTTATTTTCAGTACTGAATTCTCATAGTTACTATTAAATTACGTGGTGCAACTCAAAATGTTTCATTGCCTGATTCAGGTATTAGTCAGTGATTATCCCGGATGATAGCTGTTATTTTAACATGGAAACACTAGCAGGTTTCCAAGAACGCCTCGACACTCTGCCTTTAAAGTGTAACAAGGTTTATCTTCCTCTCAAATCTCATAAAAATGCACACAAGCCATTAGTTATTCAAAAGCTCATAAAGATGAGACCTGAGTTTGTCCTAGAGAGGTTCAAAGTTTGTTTATGATCTAACAATGTTTAACGAATGTGTTTGATCAGTGTGACACAGGCTAAACATTTTATGTGAAAGCATTCGGCGGATATTAAGCAAGTTTCTTTGCAGTCAGTCAAGTCTGTCAAGTTTGTCAAGTGACAGCAACTGTCCAACAGCTGTGAGCAGTTAAAGTAAAGTCTTTTCACTCCACCTGAGTGCGCTGACACGTGACATGTCACTATTATTAGTGTGTTAAGCTGTAGCTGCCAGTTATATCCAAGAAACTGTCTCATTATTTTTACATTTTATATACTCTCAGGATTTATTCTCTTAACAATTTTCCAGAAATGTTAATGATCTTGTGAGTGTTTTTTTGTGCATTCTTTCTGTGTATGAGTTACTGACTTTATCCAAAACCTTTGTTCAAGAGGAAAAGGATAGGTGCTTTTATCCTTTTATAGAAATCCTTGGTCTGGGTCAGCTCTCTGTTTAGGAAACTAGCCCGATCAGGTTCATTTGACAGAGCTGAAAACCAAAACCCTTCAAATGTTCACAATATTTAATGATTTGCTTGAGGAAGAGAGCACAATGCCTCCTTAACATTGTGAAACGTTTCCTGGTAGATATATTTGTCCTGTGTTTTATGGTGTGCATACCTTGTTTGACAGTATTTCCCAACACACAGGTTTGAACGTGGGTTGTTTCTATGCTCTCGGCACCCTACTGAACCGGATGATCATCGACCATTACCCTGTAAGTTGTGCCTTCTGTCTCTATGTGGACATATGTATGTACTGTACTTTAGTGTTTCCACTGTGTTGACATCCGGTAAAAGGTCTGTTGCCCAAAACTCTTGTTACACTTCCAATAGTGTGACATTTCAGCCTTTAACACCCAGAAATAATGTAACACAACCTCAATAAACTGTACTGTGGTAATAGATTTAACAAATTCAGTTTTCTTTGGCCAATGATCCGACACCATATTCAGATTTCTCTGAAACTGGCTTGCCTTTTTTTGTATGTACAGTTAGGGCATAACGTCACTAATTTGTGTCCTGACTTCCATGAACCTTCAGGGAGAAGAGGTGAATGCTGGGAGGATTGGCCTCACCATAGTCATTGCGGGGATGGTCGGCTCCCTGATCTGTGGCATTTGGTTGGACAAAACTAAAACCTACAAGTAAGTGTTGGGATTTAAAAAGATGCACAGAGAGGGTTGTTGAAAATGTTGCGACTGACTGATTCGCATTTTAGCCACGTTCAATGTGACATTAGGCAGCCACACGCACTTTTTAAATTCTGTTTATTGTCATTTGGCTTCTAATCTCGCTGTAGATCTTGTTTATGTGTTGGCTGTTGGGGTTCTGTGTCTGTTTATCCAGGTGCTGCATGCTGCTCTAACAGTGCTCTCTCTGCCCTCTTGCTCCTGCCTCATGGGCCCTCCAGCTGTGTAATGACAGCAGTGGCCATCCTATGGGGGGCTTCACTCAAACCCCCCTCTGTCTTATTTATAAGAGTCTTGCTGTAAATGGGGGGAAAGCGGGTGTGTTTGTGACATACATGTGGGGACACATTCAGTCCCACCTGGCTTTGTTGTCGAGTCCAGATATTCTAATTACTCTCTGCTGGTTATTTGCATTACATTCATTTGCACTTTTTTAAAGAGCTGTATAAGATTTGAATTGATAGGACATATTTCTTCTTTCATATGCTGTTTATTATAGGTTCAAATTTATTTATTTTTAACCAGGAAAGTGCTACCACTTACTGTTATGATCACTAACCAATACCACTATAATCAATACTTATTTCATTTGTATGTCTGTATAAAATTAGGTTTTTCTCACAATCTTGTGTGTTTTCCCTCCAAACATGTCTTATATAATGATAATCTGTAATTACATAATGCATTTTAAAACATAACTTTTGTTTATTTGTTTTCTTGTAAACAAACAAAAGTTATGTTTACATAATCATTGTTTCTATCCTTGAGGGCTAACAAACATGTTGAATGCATTTCTTTCCTCATAAAGAGAAAAAAGGCCATTTTTCAAATTTTTCACAAATTGAAAATGCAGCAACACTATGAATGTATCATGGTGATGACGATTATAGTGTTCAGTGCTTTTCTCGTGTGTTTTTCCAGGCAGACAACCCTCGCAGTCTACTTCATGTCTCTGGTGGGGATGATAGTCTATGCTGCTACACTCAGTCTGGGACACCTCTGGGTGGTCTTCATCACCGCTGGATCTCTTGGGTATTCTTTCATTCATTTCTTTGTTTTGGGGGGTATAGAAGTAATATAATCTAAGGATTTCTTTTTATATATATATTTCTGTATTTGTGTACAATACTGCATTCAAAACACACCTAATTTGTTCACTCAAGGGACGGAAAAATGAAATAATAAAGAAATATATTTACTACCAAATCCCATACAAGATGGATTATAGCAATGAGCAAGCTGGAGTGAGCTCAGTAATATCACATTTTAAGCTTTCCCCTCCACTGAATTCTGTTATGGTAATTCCTCAAAGGGCAATATTTCTGTTGACATTTGCAACAATAATTTACAGCTGTGTTTATTTAGTTTTCAGCTTTGCCTTTGTACACAGTGACTTGGTATTCAAACTCAGGATATATCTTGTTTTTGGGGAAAATAAAATGTATGGATAAAGGTCACACCACATTTTATATAATTATTTTAAACAGTTGACTTTACAGGTAAAAATGATCGTCAATGCCGCTTATATGTTCCAATCTTCTTTTGGAATTCAAACTTCATCTTTTACCAGATCCAGAAGTACTTTACACCCAGTTTTAACCTTTTTGTGGCTGTGTGGCTGTTGTGAAATACTTACACCTCTTCAGTAGCGCAGATTGGTCTGCCAGATTGTGCTCACCCTTTTCTGTGAAGGCACACCTACATAATATAACATACATGCTCACATGCATGCCAGACAGTGTACATCATTCATGTGACTCAGGCTGAATTGTCAGATGTTTCACAGAAAGCTTCATTTGTTAATGGAGACTAAATGAGCTCCAGCTAGCTTCACATTCCTGCTGGAATTCCTACTACTCGACTGATAAAGCGAACATTTCTTTAGTCTTTTTTTTCCTGTGTGTACAACCATTGTCCCAAGTATTTTTCTTGTTTTTTCTTATCCCTAAACAGGCTTTTGATGGACATTAAATATTACGTGTAATGAAAAAGCAACAACATGCAAGAGCATCATGTTTGCTGCTCTATGTCCTTGTTATTGAAACACATTTATTGGCAGAGGAGGCGCACATAAATGTCAGTGTGCCTGGAAATACAGTATGTACTGACTCAGGCTGATGTGTTTTGCTGCTGTTGTGATGTAAGTACCTAGTAATTTAGTTTCACTTTTTGTCACTTCAGTTGAAGGATGACATGGTGTTATTGAGTGAGAAATCCTCTGAAGGGTAAGGGCGTTAGTCTTAAGTTCAATCATTTAGTAGGTACAAAGTTAACATCCACTTGCTAGGTATTATAATCCTACACATGTAAAATCCAGGATATATATTATTGAAATTTAGATTAAATTAGTATCAGAAATGTGGGCAGAAAGAAGAGCTGCAATTATATCAACTTGTGATTCTATATGATTAACCTGTTTACTGTGTGTCTCTGTGCTCCTGTGCTCGTGTGTGTCCAGATTCTTCATGACGGGCTACCTGCCGCTGGGCTTTGAGTTTGCGGTCGAGCTGACGTACCCAGAGTCCGAGGGAACCTCTTCCGGACTCCTCAACTGTTCAGCACAGGTGCAGCTCAGTGATATCTCAGCATAATGGGGCAGAAAAGCCCAGTGAATCACCAAAGAGACAGCATGAGAACAAATGTTTGAATTTTTACTGATTTTAGAGAAAAAAGTGAGTCATTCCCCTTCACTGCAGTATCAATGCAGGTTTCCAAGAAAACGTTGGCTCATACATTAAAGTAGAACCTCAAACAATATTACAATTAATAACAGTAAAACTCTGCAGAATTAGTCCAGTCAAATGTGCTAAAATCCTGATTTGACTTTGCATTTGAAAGTTTGCAGATTAGTTTTTGTTTGTTGTAGACCGGGGCATGTTTCACCACATTTGCAACACTAGTGCGGTGCCCGTCTAATACATGCATGTTGAACGGGCCGATTGCTTGGTATTGCTTCTTGCAGCTTGCAGCGACTAACGGGTAAACCAACTATTAGGGTCCAGTGTGAAGTTGGTCAGATGAAAATCGAAGGACAGAGACTCTTTCCATTTTAGTTAGATGCAAGATGCAATTTGCAGCATTAGACAAAACAAACATACAAACATACTTGCAAATCAAGCATGAGCACTGAAAAATTACGCTGCTACCATTTACAACCTGCCTGTAAGCAGTGATTACAAAAGAGTCGTGTCACCCTGGGATAGCTGACTGGAGGTATTGGCACCAAAATACTCCAGGTTTTCCCTGAATGGAGCATTTTTGGCTGCAGGGAACTCTGGGAAATACTGATCCCACGTCTGATAGGCCTTAGCTGTAGAGTGATGGCACATTTGTTTTGCATCGTTGTGTTGTTGTGGCTGTGAGGGTGTGTGTGCGTGCCTCTGCATGCAAACACCAGCTTTATTCCTAACTATTGCATGTTCTGCATGCACAGGTGTTTGGCATCATATTCACCATTTGCCAGGGTAAGATCATCGACCACTTTGGCACACTGGCAGGAAACATCTTCCTCTGTGTCTTTCTTCTAATCGGCACAATAATGACAGGTAAGACCTTTGTGACTATAAGGAATATGCTGTATAGAGTCATAGCCAGCTACTGATTTTAATATCATATACTGCAATGCTTAAGAATGGTCTTTGTCTGTTACTGTTTCTGTTATGAGTTTACTAAAGTTCCTGTGGGAAAATATTTCATTCCAAGAATGTGGTGGTTACTCTGTAACTTCAAGGTCTGTTTCAGTGTTGTGTTATGATATAGATGAATATTTCCAACACAGTGACAAATGTGTTTTTATTGTTGCATATGCTTAACAGATAATTGTATTACCTCCTTACAGGAAAGCTATTTTAACCCTGGGAGCAGCTCAGGGTTTAGAGTTCTTGGAATTTTTTTCATTTCCTTCGAATGGTTAAATTAAAAACAGAATATTGTGTTGTGTTTAACTTAAGCTTGGGAGAAGATAGTGTGTAACCATTAGCTTTTTTCTTGTTCTGTCCCCCTCATTCGAAAGTGATTGTTTTTAATTAAGCAAAGCGCTAAGTTTCTAGAAAAACAATTGACTTGAGTAATGGAAAATGTTGCATACTGTCAGAAATGCTGCACATGCATACTGACACACAGTAGCAGTTTGTGTTCGGTATTAAATGTGAGATTTAATGCCTCAGTCAATGCAAAGTCACTTAAGTCTATTTGCATGGCCCATTGAGGGGTTTATGAGCAATGTTTAACTTTTTAAAAAATACTTTAGCTACTGAAGCGCTAAACTGTGAGCGCACTAGAAAAACACTGCAAGACTATTTAATGAGACCTTCTCATAAAGGTCAGCTGACTGACTCACTGTCCTTTGTAACTTACTCAGCATTTAGACATATGAGTGGACTTCTTGTTGTGGTCATGCCAGTTTTAAAAGGAAAAGAACGGCTTTGTGAGAAAACCACAACTGAATTCCCACACGTTGATTTGACATATACTGTGTAAACCTATGTGCTGCCATCAAAATGCACATACAGTACAGTATTGGCTCTCTGTAATGTATTCAGTTACAAAGGTTATCATTTTTTGTGAAACATTCACTGTAACTAGAAGGTTGAGGATAATGATTAAGATGCCATGAAGCTGTTTTCATAAATTTGCAATGCGAAGTTTGAGGGTAAGTTAGGATGCATGATTTGAGTTAGGCTAACTGTATTTTCTTGCATTCGTTGCCACACAGTCTTTGGAAATACTGTTAAGAGTGTGTTATATTTAAATAGAGACACTTGTATGATGATAGGCGCCATCTACTGGGTATTTACCTTTATTACATCATGTCATTTGATTCTAAACTAAAATCCACCTTCATATGCTTTTTAGACAGCAGTAGGATGGACAAATAAATAACTTTTATTACTTTGCTGTTTTGTAAAAGAAGAGTTGTGTGTCAGTATCTCATGCAGACTTTATTTGTTCTGTGTCTCTATTTCCCTGCAGGCCTAATAAAGGCTGATCTGCGAAGACAAAATGCAAACCTGTTGGCCAAAGCAGCAGTAAGTGTTAGAGTTTAACCAAACAAAATCCTGCTTTGTTTATTTGTTGGGGATATACTAAAAAGTGGTGGTGGTAGTATAATGTGGAATAGGCCTTTTTCATGGAAGACATTTTGACATGTGCCAGCAGGAAAAGGGTCCTAGCATACTGTCACTGTCATAGCTTACTTGGACATTTGAACTCAACAAGTTTTTTTCCTGCTATGACAAGTTAAAATGTCTGCTGTGAAAAAGGCCTATGTGTTAATTGTTTGCTTGTCATAAGTTTGCATGGAAGGCATGCAGGCAAAGTCACATGTGTGTCCTGTGCTGCTCCAGAAATAACTTACTCTGCGCTCCCCTTTTGTGTCTATTTTTGCTGTTGTCTTCAGTTGTCCCGCTTGCCTGTACCAATTCTCCATAACATCTATTGTGGGATTTGACCTGATACAGTGTCTCTGCTGCATGTTCAGCTGTTTTCGTCTTTCTCATTGGTCTTCATGTTGTAAAGCAGACAGTGTTGGGTGTAACGCATTACTGTAATTACATTACAGTTGTCTGTAACGCGGTGATGTAATGCATTACAGACAGTGATCACATTACACTTGTTAATCAAATGTTGCTACTTGCGTTACATAAGTTCTTCAGTTATCTCCATAATGGCTGGTAAGGAAAAAAAGCCCTGTAAAGGCACATTTGAACCACTTCTTTGCTTGATGAGGAAGATAACAACTGCTATAGTGATAAACACATCAAATAAGCTGGACCAGTCTACTATAAAGCCGTTGTTTGGAGACTTTGGCCCGTTGCCGTTCATATTACGTGATCTCCAGCAATGTTTCAGAGTAATGCAAAAGTATTGCAAAGAGTTGTGTAATTCATTTTCTACAGGGAATAACTAAGTAAAGTAATTCATTACTTTTATGAGTAATGACCCCAACACTGTAAAAAGAGCATGTATCTGCTTGCATATGCTTGTGTATGTATGTGTATGAACTGCCAAATATCTTAGGAGCTTATTGAATTTGTCTGGAACAGTTAATGTTTTATTGCTATGATCCCCCTGTTCCTAACCCATACTGTCTCACCAACTCACCAAGCTTTGGTAGAAGAAGAGCAAATTGAAGATAATGTTTGAATGTGACAAAAAAGCAACCGAAGCCAGGTTCCAGGACCCTGGACAGAATATTCTTTATTGATGCCTGGGTGGGTCTCCAAGCTCTGTGGTGAAGTTACTGATGAGTGCTGACAGAAAATCATCTGTCAGATTCCTCACATTTAACGCTGAGATACAGTGAAGAACAAAGCGTTCAATAATGAGCTTTCTGGTGGAGAGTTAAATGAGATAAATGATACCATCTCTCTGTGAGATAGGAAGCTAGAGCCAGGAGACAATTAGCTTAGCTTAGCATACAGATGGAAGCAGACTGGAACAGCTAGCCTGTCTCTTTTGAAGGGAACAACCAGCCTTTCTAAAGCTCATTAATTAACACACTATATCTTGTTTGTTTACCTGGGAGCTGAGCTAGGCCAAGCTAACCTGCTGCTGATATGAGAGTGGTATTAGTGCTGGCCAAAAATTAACAAACAATTCTTTTCTGCATACTTTTGCGAGTTTGATACGTATCAAGTCTGGTATTAAGTCTGTAAGCTTCAATACCAAATTTAAAAATGTAAATACTTGAAATACTCAAATTAGAGGTCCAGACCTGTGGCACTAAATTTTCTTGTCTAACTCTCACAAATAAAGCAAATAAGCATTTTTTTCAAATTGTTACCCAAACTGAATTGTGTTTGAACATAAAGAATAATTTAAGTGATAACCATAAAAGAGGGAATTCATTCAAGCAAGAATTCAGAATCACAACAACTTCATCCCAGACTGGAGACTCACGCCTCTGTAAACACTGAATGAGAAGTGATCAGTAGCTGTTGTTTTAGGCGGAGGGGCAGATGTCGGGACAAGACTACGGAGCCACGGCACTAATCTCCCAGCCGCAGACTCCTCCTTATCAAGCCTGATCAATAAACCTTTCTGCTTCCACAATGAAATCTGCTCAAATCTTAGCTCGAGACACAAATGCACAAAGGTAGGAGCACAAAGCAATCAGCACACACTGCCGATAATCACCAACACCTGCTGCACACCCTTCCACCTGTCTCTGTTAAATCTGCCTTCTCAGTCTCTCTCACTGACTAATATTCACACAATCGTGTACATATGGAAATTATTTTCTCCAACTGTATCTATGGAATTCCAGCTGAATTTAAATCAATTAATTTCATCTCTGATCATTAATCCCATCACAGCCTGAGCCTATACACCTGATATGTATTTGACAATATAATGATTTAAAAAAAAAATCATACATGGATGACTTCCCAGAGAATTATTTTCCTGTGTGCATGGCTGACTGATTTAAACTCTGTCTGATCTGAAACAGCTTTATTTATGAAACTACGGTCTTATTTATTTATGCGTCATTTTGTAATGTATCCATATACAGGCCCTTTTTCAGAGAGGACATTTTGACATGCAAAGCACAGGTGTAAATAATAAATGAACGATGGCTGAATCCTATTTAATTGCTTCAGTTTCAGGGTCCTGGTATTGATGCATTTCCAAGAAAACATAGAAAACAAACGAGAATGACTGAGAGCTCACGAGAAGATCAACATGTGAAGTTGTTTTTGTGCCTTAAACTGCACGAAAAGGAAACCTCAGCTAGCTCGCAGTGCAGAATATTATCTCCAGTAAGCCTGGTCAGAGCCATGGATTACATAAAGGTGCAGGATGGTTTCTAACTGAAACTGCAGGTATAAATGCCTGACAGCTCACACTGTTACTGTGTGCTTAAGGCTCAGTGAATACAGTGTGAACATTTGATGCCTTGGTGATCAGTTTGATGTGCATTTAGAGTTTCAGTTGATAGAGGTGCACACTGATGGCTTTAGGCAAAAAATGCATACCGCTGTTAAGTTAATTTTTCAAACAAAACTGTAAAACTATATCATGTGTCAGGTATATTAGCAGGGTTTTCATACATGGTAATGTATGAAACCAGAACTTTTTTACTTTTATGCTAAAGTTATTTGTGTTAGGGGGAGATTTTGTGCTTTTAACCCTTGCTGCCTGTTGATGGTTTTACACACACACAGGTAACTCTCCCCCTGTAGCGCTACATTTGTGTAGCCTGTGTTAGTGTTGCACTGCTACTAGTTGCCATTTCTGATTTGGATATGTGTAATGGTTGCAAACTAGAGCTGACAGATGTAGAATGTGGTGTCTTATAAAACATTTTTTAAGTTTTGGAAATAGAAGAATGAGTCTTACGTTCAAATTCACCTCTACCAGCAATTTTTTCTTGTTTCCAGCAAGATGTCAGATTTCCAAGTACTGAAACTGTCCATAATTAATCTATAATGACATTGTAGCAGTGTGTTTTCTACCCATTGATTGATTGTTAACTAGTCTGTAGACATTGCGTTAATTTTGGGGGTTTTTAGTGTAGCAGAGCCTTTCCAGAGAGTTAACACTCACAATAGCAGCATCCTGACTCTGCATGACCTGAATGGAACAGAACCTCAATTAGTATCATTAATAACGCCTGTGTTCATCCGACTATTTCATGTCAAAATGGCTGCTGATGCGCACATTGTCACAAATTTGTGACTTAACTGACTGCCATTATTAATGTTATTAACACCTGTGCCCCTTCTATTGTGAGGAGTCAAAATGTCTCCTGGGAAAAAGGGTATTGATGTGCTTTTATTTGTCTATTTTTCATTTTCACCCAGCATGTAGTCAGTACACTCAAAAACTACACACAGCCATATTTCCTTACTAAAGCTAAAGAAAGCTGTTTTCAATTATAGCTTATCTTGAATGTTTGTGTACACAGAGTGTAGGAATGGGTGTGAGGTTTGTGCACACTGATAAGAAATAACGTACTGGGATATTCACCTGAACATGTGTTTATATGTGTTTGGTCACTATTTTAAGTGATTATTTAGCTCTAAAATCTACAGACAAAAGAGAACTTCAGTGTTGAATCCATAATATTGTTGAATTAACATGCCTGTTTTGATTGATAGGGACCGTCTGACAGCCCGAGTGGGAACCTGGCTGAAACTTCTATCATCAGTGAAGCCAAGTTTTAGACGCGCACACACACTAACATACAAGCCTTGAAAATGATCTCCTTTCTGTTACAGTGTAACATACTGAGATAGAACAAAACTATCAGGAAGTCTTTAGACCCACTTCTAAGAAGAGCTAGATATAGTGTTGTATTAACTATTTATAAAAAGAAATACGCTAAAATGCTGAATTAAATCTGATATTTAATGCACAATGTTGAACATTCACTGTTGAGAAATATTTTTTATATGTGAGTGTAAATTAAAAACTTAAATGCTAGGAGACAAAAAAATTAAGAAGAAATGTTTACCTGTCAGTATTTTAAGTGTACAGTTGATTGTGTACAGTACAAATAGGTACATTTGGCACAATGAATTTATGCTAATTTTGTTATTGCATACAACAGTTAATCATGTAAATACACTGCATTGTTTTGAGTGATTTTGGTAGAATATCTTTGACATTGAAATAATTCATACAGCAGCATATTAAATAGTCTCTAATCCATGGCAGTCCACAGTAAGGGATTATTACACACAGTTGTGTGATAGTATATGTAATACTATTCATGTTTACTTATTTAACATGAAATAAAACTATTTTATGGAGTTTCTTCTCTTTGTTTGGTGTTATGCTTTACATTACTGTGTACCTCACAGTGAAAAGCCATAGATCTTTGATGGTAGATAATACCAACCACAGTAAAATGCTTTTAAAGCAGAACTTATACTTATAATGGGAGTATCTTTACATACAGGTACTCTTATATGTAAGTCAAAGATCTGAATGCTTCTTCCACCACTGATATATCTGTTCATCTTGGAAGCGGGGGTCCCTTCTGTTTGTTTGTTTGTTGCTTATTTTTCTTGTGAGAGGGTTTTTCCTTGTTGGTCCTTATGCAAACCAAGGGTCTACAGTTTGACTTTTCTTAAAATAACACCACTCTGACAGCTCAACTGTGTCAAAGGTAAAAACTAAACAAGAATAAACTTTCACATACATAGGACTCTAACTTATAAGGTGTACCCCTCTTGACCACATGGTGGCAGCATTGTTGCATATAAACTGTGGACTCCTTTAATGAACAAGAAGGCCCATGCAGGATTCAAAGTGAGGAGCATTAGAGAGACAAAAAATAATAATTGAAGTACATTGTTGATATACTGTGTGTTCTCAAAGTCCTATTAATTGTTTGTACTGTGATTTAATCGACTTTAGGCTACAGAGTCGCCTGAATAAAGCTGGGATCTACTGATCTAAAGTGTTGTCTGAATAAATGACTACATTAAACATCTCATTGGCATAAATAAAGATAAAGTTGCCTCCGAGCAGCTCTGTTATGAGATCATCCTGACTTCAGGCCAGTACTCAGAGAGCAGCTCCCATCTGACTGATTCTCTGATGATCTCATTGTTCTCCAGTTAGCTTACTGATCCTTGGCATAGATTGGTTGTTAAAGTTTGTGTCAGGAGTTTTTCCTGGTACTACAGGTTCATTAGCACATAGATCTGTGGAAATGCTACCCATTAATGCAAAATCCAGCTGAGAGGATGACCTAAAAAGACCACTCTGCACTCTTGCACTCTTATCTAACTCTTCGTTTGAACAAATTGGTTTTACAACAGCTGCCAGTCAATGAAAACATCATCAAATTTTATTATTTTAACATTTTCGTTCAGAAGAGAAGTAGGATGAGAAAAATTTAAAGGAGCAGAAGAAGGGATTTCTGTTTGGTTGTATTGACAAGGTACAAGACTGACATCATGCCCATGCAACACTGCCCCTTTCAGTCATTTGATGTGTCAACACTATTTATACTGTATTTCCTAGAGTTTCCTTCATTTTATGACCTTAATTAATGTGGAATATATGAACTGTAGACAGGAAGGTCACAAAAGGACGAGGACGAGTAGGGTGTGACCTCAGGCTCGCTGACGGCCTGCCCACCCACATGTAGTGATGGATGTTTGAATAAGGCCCCTTGTATACATATGACATTTCAGAGTTGCTTGGAAGAACTTACTGTACATGCAAAGAAATAGGTCACTTGGTTCTTAATAAAGGCTTTTGCTTGTTTGTTGTCGTTTCTTTCGTTCCTTGATTTTTATGCTTTGAAACCCAGTAAAGTTTATCTCTTAAGTGCAGATAAAGTCAGGTCTACATGTGAAGGGAGATTGGAGGAAGGATTATACTTTCTTTAAATAGATTTTGTGAGGTCACATGGAGAAAGACAACGGGTCTTTTGCTCAGTGAAAAAACACGTCATATATGACATAGGTATGAGTGGACGACACACATATAATGTTTTTTCACAGTATATGCAATATTGATAAATACTTGGAAGTTCATCACACTGATGCAAATTTGCCATGAAGAAGTCATATTCACTGATTTGCAGTATTACCCAAAATTGCTTAATATAATAAGGATATTTTGATTTTGGGCTAGACTTTAAAGAAAAAGTTTGACATTTTGCTTTCTTGCAGAAGATTGATTCCAGTCTGATGTCTTGGTGTGATAAGTATGGAGCTAAACCCAGGAGAAGATTAACTTAGCTTAGCAGTGTGCCAGAGTTTATACGTCTGCCCTGCAGCCATATTTTTTAACTGTAGGCAAAGCCAGGATACCCACTATCCTGTCTTAAGTTCCATAGTTTGCAGAAATGTAATAAAATATTTCTTGGTATGTTTTCATTAGTTTATAATCATCTGCAATTCGTGTTTTTTAACAGGTTTTGCGGCCCCCGCATTTTTTACATGCTTGGAAAGCTGAGCTGTATTCAGTTGGTTGCAATCAGCAACAACACCACTAGATGTCACTAAATCCTACACTCTGTACCTTTAATGCACAGTATCAATGTTCAATTTCCCAAAATGTCAAACTTCTTTAAAATCACATCGTCCTCTCTGAGACATGGGTGCACACAGCCTTGCAGAAATGGTGATGTGACACATTATTAGTTTTACCAGCATTACCACATGATGGCTGATGGTGTACCTCAATCTCATGGCGCACATCCCGTAAGCATGAATACTGAATACTCCTCTCTGAGTATCCACGGCCTGATGATTTATCCTCCAATGCTATTGCATGATGGTCACGTACGTCATTTCCCTGAGGGTGGCTGATCCTATCTGCCTGCTGGCGCTTCACAGATATTATCAACTATCCACACTATGATCCATCCTGCACCCACAAACCAAAACTTGAAAATACACAGCTAAAATTACAAACACTATATTTAGTGTGTCAGAGGTAGGAGGAAAACAGCATTGTGCAATCAGTTGTATGCTGTATGTCATAAAAGGTTTAGGGACTAGATTGCAGGCCTCCTCACGACTGGTTAGGAACTAGAAATCAATTTGCTAATGACTAGTTAGTGTAGGAGTGCGAATACCCATCAGACTCATGAAACACAAATTTGGAGGGAGAAATGTGAAGGGAGGAGAGACAGCATGACGCAGTGCCTCCTGTTTGTGTTGACTGTTCAAACAGCAACAGAGATTGATGGTGTTGGCCACGTACTACACACAGTAGTAAAGAGGGAGCTGTGTGCACCCGAGCACAGACACAGGCGGGAAAAAGAGAAATAGATAAAGCCTTATTGCCTCTTTGTGAATATGAGAAAAACAGAAACAGGAGCGCTAAAAAGTGAGAAGGTCTAGCTGACAAGGAGGATATCAAAACAACTGCAGAGGCAAAATACTTGAAAGAGAGGAGATGAAAGTATTAGAAAAGTGAAATCCAAGTAAGTGCGGTGAAGACTTTGTCATACACAGATGGCCACTCGGTGTATTTTGGAGAGGCTGCCGAACGAGCACCTCATCCATGCACATTCTGGAGGAATATAACTCACTCACAGATGGACTGCAGAGAAGGGAGGTGCTGCTATGAAGTCAAACTGTAAACTGAATCTTGAAATTTAACACTGGCACGGCGCCAGAGGAGCTGTGCTTGGTACCAGTGTTTTTCTTCTTCCTCACTCCACAGAGAAGATAAAGACTTCTCTCATTTTCTTAGTTCAGTCACTCAGTGTGTGTGTGTGACAGCCTAATGAATGCTTAAAATACCAAACAGAGAAAATGTATACTTGGTTTTCTATTCTGAACATACCAAAACACACATCTGTTTGGTGTTCTTGGTGTTTGCCGATGATTGGAGAATGCAGATAGAAAATGAAAAGAAGCCATATCTCTACTTCTGGTGTACAAACCCGTAGAGATTGTTTCTTATATATTATATCTCATAAAGATGATTTAGGTTTTATGCAGACTGCCCTCGTCAAAACTACTTTGACATTCATTAAATCTGTTTTTTCACTCATTAAACATCCCTCCTCTTTAATTATCTAAAATCTTAAATAACTTTTTCTGTCATGGTGAGTTTCATGTGGTTTACCAGGATTACAGCAAAAAAAAGTTTGGGTGCCACACTAGTATTTGCCTTCAATTCTGTCACACAAAAAGGGCGTCTCGATGTGTGTTGTGGCTGTGTTGATTAGCTACTGCAGTTGGGGACTAATTTCTTCCAGTGTTCCCCCGAGGCTTATGTGTTGTTTTCATTTTATTGTTCATGGGAAAAATGGCTCAGCCGGTAAAAATGGAAAAATCACTTAAATTTTCCTTCGCTACTGAGCTACTGTTTTGGCCTTTAGAGTGCACTCTACTGCCTACGCAGCCGTTCAGAGACTGGATGTCCATTAAATTTATGTTTATAGGCATGTGGAGGTAAAGGTGCAACCAAATCCTGTCAGTGACACATTGTAATGACCAACTGTACTGCAGGACATATGGAACATTTTTATGTTTTTTTACAGTACAGCACTTTTAATGACAAGCGAGGTATTCATGCAATAGTTTGCAGAAAAAAAATTCCCTTATTTACCTTGATCTACCTTTAACTTTTTCTTCTGGGAGCAGGAGAGGCCTGGGTCATAGCTTTCGG